CCCGCCACATGGGCAGCCCACTTACAGGAGAAGGCTGTTATGCACGGACAACTTTCCACTCTGTTGAGACAGAAAGAGACAAGGAGACGGACAGGGAGTGGGAAGCAGAGCCTGGGGAAACTCCACAAATCAGTGACAGCCTGATCACAGAAAGACCCCCAACCCTACCTTAATGAGCTGGACGTGGGGGTTCCTGAGATTTCTCTCTGAACTCCCAGACCTCACCGTACCTAGTGTGACATTGCTGATGCTGACGCCTTGGGAAGCCGGAGGCCCGTCTTGCTGTCACAGGCTTTGTCACACCGGCTGCAAGCTTGTCTTGATCAAAGTGAGTTTGTCAATGCTGCCTTCAGGCGGTGAGTCAAATGGGAGAAAATGCGTGTTGTGTGGTCAAAATATGGGCCAAGTTCGGTTTTCTAATTTCTGCCTAATGCCTGCTGTGGATGAGTGGTCAGTGCAGAGACAGTGGGGTGTGCTGGGATGTGGGTATCAGAGGAGCTGCACGTGTGCCTCTTCATCAGTCTGAATCCGTCATGATGTGGCCTGGTCTGGAGTGGATGGGTTTCCCAGGAGGCAAGCTCGTCAAAGGAAAGATGCCAGCCATTTTGCTGTGGTCCCGGCCTTGGTGAACCTGGGAGCACAGGGCTCACTTCCAGAGAGCTCACCGTCTGGCTAGCAGGAGAGCCTGTGCAAGGTGTTGCCGACAAGGCCAGATGGGGTGCAAAAATGGCTCCCCGCAAGCTGCTCTGATTTCCTGAAGCTGTTTCACACGTCCTCCCCAACTTCTTATCACTTTCCCGAACCTCTCTAATAGTACATTTTCAATTACAGTATTAATAACCTTGATGTAACTTCCATCTTCTTCTGCAAGCTTTTGAGGGCAGGACTCAGTTGCAGTCATTCTTCCCCTGGAGAATGTAGCCCAGAGAGTGGCACACAGCAGATGTGGCTACTGCAATGGAGGGAATGGTAATGACATTGATGCTAGGAAGGCAAGACTAACGTAACTGCCACTTTTCAAATCCTTTCTCTAGGTCATGCACCTAGCTAAACCCTATACTTGTACTCTCCCGAATCCTCCAAACTGCTTTAAGGAAAGAGGAATTATTTTCTCAGCCTTACAGTTGGTAAAAGTGAAATGCAGGAAGGTTAGACAGCTCACTCAAGGTCACCACGGTCACACAGAGATGTACTGACAGCATTTGGACTAGTCTTTCAAACCAGGCTTTTTCCCCCCTGACTTTTATCCAGCAAGCCCTTGTGGGATCAACGGGTAAAAGGATTCTGCCTCATAGCATCTGGAAACATGTGGGTTCAGGAATATGCCTGGAAGGATATGATCTAAATTTAAATTTCAGCAAATGTTGTCAGTAGTTCTCAGATGCTTTGTACTCACAAGCTGGATTACTCTCCCAGTACATCCAAATTAGATTTATCTGGCGTATCACTCGAAGAATTCCAGTCCAAGAAGTGTCCATACTACGTGCCGGAAATCGATAAATCTTCATACTTTGAGGGTTTGAATTTCCAGGTTTGGACAACTAGAATCTTAAAAATGTTTCAGCGTTTTCTTAGGGAACCCCATGTGATAGGTACATTGGATTGCATCTTTGAAACAGAGGATTTGAAAGCGTAGTCGTAGCAACAGCAGCAGCCATTGACACTTCTTTGCCATACGTCATTATCATTTTCCTCATTTACAATGACTTAGAACTTCAATAAGGCACCACACAAGTGGCTCCGTGCTTGGAAGCATCAGAGGGGGCCTTCAAGCCTAGGGCGGGGCTTGACTAGACCCTGTTTACTCTCCTCTGGGAGAACTGAAGACAGAATTTCCTCACTGTTCATTCTCCCAACTCCCAGATCCTTTCCTTATGGGGTGGCCACCCTCACCCCGAAGCTCCAGTGAGCTGACTGATGGCTCTGTAGTGGCTACCACAGTTCTCAGAGGATCCGGGTGACCTATGAAAACTCAGGTTCCATGTTATCTCCACAGCCTCTTTTGATTATGTCACCTATTGAAATAGTCTTATTTTCTTTGATCTGGTCCACAAACTTCAAGAAACCCCAAATAGATTGTTTATCCCAATCGACTGAATACGTTTGTGGGAGAAAGACTCTGTTATAATTTTCTAACCCATTGTGTAAAGCCTGGTTTGTGTCCTAACTTGAGCACTTTAATTACAGTCAAGATGGAGTGGTCCAGGTTAGACTTCCTCCTTAGCAAAGAGAGGAGAGATGTGCAGAGGTACACTAATGAGGCATTTGGATGCAGATCCCCAGCCCCCAGCACTATGACCTGACCAGGTGTTCAGAGACAGCCCTTCTGAAAAGGAGTTTGGGCTGCACTTAAGATTGACACTTATACCCAATTTGTGGGAAATTGCTCGAGGGGCTATTTGTTGTGGTAGCATGTTGTCTCTCTCTTTCTCCTTCCCAGTCTTTCTTTCTCCCTCTTACTCTAAGGAATCTTACTCTCTCTTTTGCTAAAAGAAAAGCTGTTGTTCTCAGCTAGCACTTGGACAAAAGCTGGGATGGCAGTAATTTACTTTTAAATCACATCATTTTGAAAAAGAAAAAAATGTTAGAAAGAAGCTTCCATCTCTTATGCTAATGGAGAAGAAAATGATTCACAATGATTAAAGGAATTGGTTCAAGTTCATATGTAAGAGCTCAAGCTAGAGGCCATACCAAACCAAGATTTTCAGAATTCCAGCATATTACATTGAAATCTATTTCCAAAGGCTAAACCCAAATATTAGATGGATGGATAGATAGATAGATAGATAGATAGATAGATAGATAGATAGATAGATAGATAGATAGATAGAAAACGGCACTTGGGCATTTGAGCCAGTTGTTTTAAATTCAGTTATGAGGCCTCATTGTAACTTGGTCCTAATTTGTATACCACTGTTGACCTAAAAGTGATCATTAGCTCCATGGAAGGTCCAAAAATCAAACCAAAATCACTGTCATCGAGTTGATTCCAACTCACAATGACTCTATAGGGCAGAGTAGAACTTCCCCTTGACTTTCCAAGACTGTAACTCTTTACCATAATAAAAAGCCTCATCTGTCTCCCACAGAGCAGCTGGTGGTTTCAAACTGCTCACCTTGTGGTTAACAACCCAACACATAACCCATTATGCTACCAGGGAAGAAGAAAATGTGAATGGGCAAGTTATTTAAAATGAATGGTTTCTGGGTCCATGCCACATCACTCAGAGACTTCTGTGTAGGCTTCAGACAATCTAAACTTTTTTTTTGTGACAAAGAAAACATCCTTTCAAAAATGCGTCCATAGTTTCATTCTCAGAGGTAGAAATCAATACTTCTAATAAGTTTGTGGCTTTTCTAGGTTTGAATAGCACAACATCTGGGCCTTGTGTGTCTAGCAGCAGGTTGTGAGTATAGAAACAAAGAGTAGAGAACAGGTCCTAATTGTAAAATATATTAATGTGGCTGGGAAAAATACAGGCTAGAGACCTCCTGAAAGACCAGGCTGGTCAGGGCATGAATTATTAAACAGTATTACATAGTGTTAAACAGAGACCTTACCACTGCAGGACATTGTTAAAAGAATCGCATATAAAAATGTTTTAAACCATCAATAAAGAGTTGGAGTTAAATAGGGCCTCTAAGCCTTTGTAAATTCTATTGAAGGTTGCTTGAAGAGAAATTCAATTATAGAGAAAGCTTTCCTTTGAGGTCCAATAAGCACCAAAATGCAGCAAAGGATTTGTATTTATGTTTTTCCAAGTAAAATATATAAGTAGATAGTTGTTACTGTTTTTAGGTACCCTGGATTTGGTTCGACTGATAGCAGTCCTATAGGCAATGGATTGAAACACTGCCCAGTCCTCTGAAATTCCTCACAATTGTTCTTATGTTTGAACCCCTTGTGGTAGCTACTGTGTCGATCCATCTTGTCGAGGACCTCCCTCCTTTATGATGCCTCTCTACCTTACCAAGCATCGCGTCCTTCTCCAAGGGCAGGTCTCTCCTGACATGTCGAAAGTACATGAGATGAGCCCTTACTGTCCTTGCCTCTGAGAAGCATTCTGGCTGTTTAACATCATTAAGCTGTGTGGAAATAGGAATCAAAACCACAATTAGACATTACTTCACATCTATTAAATGGCTGTAATAAAAAGGGAGATAATGCTGAGTGCTGGCAAGGATGTGGAGGTACTGCAATCCTTGTAGATTTCTGGTGGGGATATAAAATGGTACAGCCTCTTTGGAGAACAGTTTAACAGTTCTTCCAAAAATTAAATTACATGATCTAGAAATTCCACTTTTAGGTGTATATATATATGTAGAAGAACTGAAAACATGTGACCTTACGTAAACTTGCACATTAATATCCATATTAGCATTATTCATCATAACCAAAAGAGAAAAGCAACCTAATGTCCATCAACAGATGAATGAGTAAACAAAATGTGTAAATCCATGGATCAGTTCCTTTGGCTGTAAATAAGAATGAAGGAATAATATGTGCTACGAGTCATGGATGAACTGGAAGAGCATCATGCTATGTGAAATAAAACAGATATTAAAAAACCCACAAATTATAGGATGTCATGTATGTCAAATATCGGGTTTAAGTAAAAAATAAAGACCAATGAATGGTTTCCAGAGACTAAGAGGGGAGAGAGGAATGGGGATGGGGCAGTGTTTGGAGAAAATATTTTGGGATTTGATACAGGTGATGGTTGTACCACTCTGTGACTCAGTTAAAAAAAATCACTGAATTGGACACTTTATCTCATTAAAGCTAGTATAAAAAACAAACCAACAGACCCATTCAAATGATAGGAAACACAGAATTTGGCCAATTGGTGGAACGAACTGACAGTGCCTATGGTGGGTGTCCCTCAGATACCTGGCGCTCTGTACAGCCCAGGAACTTGACACTAAATACCATTTTGGTGAAACTTGGTTGAGTATGGAGACTGAATTTTGTCCTGCATTTGTGTTTCTGCCCCCTCCAGAGTGACGATTCCTTCCCTGAAAGCGTCCTGACCTACGTGACTCAAACATCCAAAGGAGGTAGCTCTGTTCTGACTTACCCTCCCATGTCTCGGGCCAGTTACCCTGAAGATCTGCCCTTGCGGACCTTTGGCCCGCTCCAGCTGGACGAGCTCAGTCCTAAGGTGGACAGCAGCCTGGACAGACAGAACCTGATAGCGGCTCTCAATGCCTATGCTGCTCAGAGGCCAGTGGCGCCAGGCTTGGACAGGGCCTCAGTGCATCGCAGCAGCATCCTTGCACCCCCAGTGCCCCAAGCTGGCCCCTATGATGAGACTCCCCCTGGCGAGAATGACCGGAGTATGCTGTACCTTCTGCAGGAGCATGTGAGAACACCGAGGCCCGTCTCAGCACCCACGGCCTTACAGCAGTGGCCCTCTGCTCTTGAAGATCCCAAAGAGCCACTCAGCACAGGAGCCGGTAAATGTGGCACTTCTTTTGGGTGTGTGTGTGTGCTTGTTTCCTGGAACCTGTTCATGGCCAGGGAGCCCGGGTAGGGTAGTGGGTTGTATCAGTTTGAAACCACCAGCTGCTTTGAGGGAGAAAGATCAGTCTTTCTACTCCTGTAAAGATTTACAGCCTATGAAACCCACAAGGGTAATTCGACTCTGTCTTCCAGGGTTGCTCTGAGTTGGCATCCATTCAGTGAATTTACTCATGGGTGTGAGTTTTCACTACTTCCCAGTCATCCTGTCAATTGCCTGTCCTTTGTTCTCCACATGCTTTGCAGTTCCTTTAGGATATTGGGTAGAAACCAGATGTACTGTGAGACAGGGAACTATGTTCTCTTTTTTTCTCTCAGTTTTGGTGAAAGAGAAGGAGCTAATACTATTTGCCATGAAATAGGTTTTAGATGACGACCATCCCAGGTAGAATCAGAACAGATATTACCCAGTCCTGTCCAATGATTGGTATGGGTATGCCCAGATCTATCGTTACCAGCTGTTGTGTCAGCCTAGTTCACCAAGGGTCACCCACACCTTCACTGTTGCTCTGCTTCAGCAAACACAATGTCCTTCTCCAGTGGTCAGTCCTTCTGGATCCAAAGTAAGTAAGTCAAAGTCTCAGACAGTACTCTGGGAGCTAAAGGGTTTTCAGTGGGTCAATTTCAGAAGTAGATCACCAGACCTTTCTTTCTAGTCTGTCTTAGTCTGGAAGCATCACTGAACGCCATCTACCTGCTACTAAGGAAAATATTGATAGCATAACTTCTAGTATCCTAGCAACATGCAAGCCTTCATACTATTACAAACTGGCAGAGGTGTGGTGGGGTACTATCCTACCAAATGTGAATTCAAGAAGTAGGTCTGAAATGAGTGGTTGGGTGGCATCTTAAGAGACTGTCACTGTTGAGTTCTTGCTTCTTTTAAATCCTTTCCCCCACAAGTTCACCATTTAATGACTTGGTTGAATGAGTGCAATAAAACAGGGCAAAACATGGCTATCAGGCCAAAGCCCACAAACGTTCTGACTGCACGGTGCTTTGTACTATGGGATGTAAGCTCTTTTAGATCAGATGCTCTGCCATCTTGCCCCACATCTCACTGCTTCTGTTAATCAAACATGCTGCTTCACGTGCTCCTGGATATTTGCCATTTCCCTAAAACATACAATCTGACAATCTTAATGCAATTAATGTATAGGATATAATTTGAACATCAAAAATCATATATTTCAGCATTTTCATGTGAGCTATGGGTCTGGTACAGTAGCTATGTGGGACAAGCCTTGGGCTGCTAACTGTGGAATTGGTGGTTCAACCCCCCCAAGCCACTACAAGGGAGAAAGATGAGGCTGTCTGTATCTGTAAAGATCTGTAGTCTCAGAAACCCGAGAGATGATTCTTCTCCATCCTGTAGGCTAACTATGAGTCTAAAGCAACTCGATGGCAGTGGGTTTATGGCCACCCCCCAGGAGAAAGAGTAATTACTGATTCCCACTCCTTTACAATATGTAAAGGGCTCTGACCTATTTATTTTCTAACAGTCTTTCTCAAGATAAAATTGAGATTTTTCATAAATGACATTCTTTTTGAAAATACACAAATGAAATCAAGCAGCACATTAACATTAGAACTTTCTAGTTTCCAAAAGTGAAAACCTAATTGAAGTTGTTTTGACATTCTCCCAACCCTACATGTTGTTACTTTTCAGCCACGAAGCTCTCTCTTTCTCTTTGTGTGTCCACGTAGCCATTATGCCAATTTTTAAATGGCAGAAATATGAGGCCATTACTATTGCTTGTTCCATTGAACTATCTTGGGGAGGGGGCAGGTATATGAGGGAGCAGATTGTTTTGACTGAGAATTGGCTCCTCATAAACACTCCAACAGGGAGATTGATGATGTTTGTCTGTGAATGATGGATAGCCCTGAGTAGGGCCTTTCCTTCCAGCATTGCCCTGTTGAGGTAGTTTCAGCTCTGCTTTATCCATACTGTGGTAGTTGCATAATCTGGTGTCAATTTGAGAGGATTACAAATGAAGGGGTGGAGTTTGCCTGTCAATCAGGTCATAGCAAATGAGGCCTCTGTGTGGGCATGGCCTTTTCCTGAGGATTCTGGGAGCTCCAGTATTTCCTCCTTGGAGGTGGGAGGCACTCTCTCTTACTACTCACTCCCTGTGAGACATCCCTGTGGAGAAGACACATGGAGAGAAGCTGATGGAGCCAGACCTCTGGAGCCGGAGAAGCCACGTGGAGACCCCTGCCAATGCTGAGATGCTTACAAATGACACTGGATCCACAAGAATTCTCACCCACTGGCCTGTGATCTTTCAGCATGTGTTTCGTGAGTCTGAAGAGGACTTTATAGATTGATGTCAGACATATGGACTAAAATCGGACTTATGGACTTGATCTGGACTGGGCTGGGATGTTTTCTCAATATTCAAATACTATTGTATATAAAACTCTTTCTTATACATACATGAGTGTGTCTATGAAGCTGTTTCTCCAGTCTACCCATACTAACGCACATATCTACTCCGAGAAACTCCTTATCTTGACTCTCCCATGAACAATTAACTCTATCAAGTAGTTCCTGTCTGCTAATTTGCTTTTCAAATGGTCCTATGCTTCTTGATGTGCAACTCAGTGTCGTCCTCACACTCTTCTATAAATACACTATTGGAGGTCACCTTCCCCCTGCCAATGGCCAGTCATTGGCCTCTTCTCCACGATCATTCTCTTCTCCGTGGCACTGACCGCCTCTTCCTTTAGATTCTCCTGCCGTTGTGCTCCATGCTGCCCTGTCATGTGCAGCCTTCCTGTGCTGTCCTTAACCCTTCCTTCTGTGCCCCCCATGTCATCTCTTACATCTGAGAAAGGACAGTCTCATTTGTTGAATGCTTAGTCTCCAGGAGTGGAAGTCTTCTTGCGGGCTAGTGCTTTTGTTGTACTCATCGGACTAGGAAGAGCTCAGTAATATTGCCCCGGTCCCAAAGAGAGCCCCAGGGGATGTTCACAGGTGAAATAGGCTCCAACTCTGCTCATGCTGCTTCTGCTCCTGGGGATGTGCTTCTCCTTCTCCCAGCTTGCTTGGTGCCATTCCATTGCTCACACCGCCAGGGACCACCAGCTTCATGGACGTTTTCTTGAAAGTCTGCTCTCCACATTCCAATAACCACCAGTATCTACATACTTAAATTGTCATTTTCTTGTTACCTTTTTGTATACACTGTGCTTTTGTTGTTGTTGTTTGTGAGTTTTTCACCCCACAATAGAATTTATACTTTATTCAGAAAGGGTCTTCTTTATTTTATTTTAATCATTTTATTGGGGGTTCTTATAACATTCCATACATCAATTGTATAAAGCATATTTGTACATATGTTGCCATCATCATTTCCAAAACATTTTCTACTTGAGCCCTTGGTGTAAGCTCCTCTATTTTCCCCTTCCTTCCTGAACCTGTTTTCACAGCAGTATAATATACTTTTTAAGAAGTGTCATGTAAAACATCACACCCCAAATAGACTTCACCTTCAGCAAATGACAACTCATAACCTCATCCCACTACTTCCATTTTTTAAAACAAATCTCATTCATGAAATAATTTCACATGTAAATATTTCAGTATATTCTATAAACTTAACCATCATAGCTTTATCACATGTAAAAATCATTACTTTTTAATAATATCTATTCTGTAATTGAATTTCTCAATTGTCACCTTACATTTTCTTTTCCAATTGGTTCTTTTGAAGCAGGATCCAAGAATGTCAATTGAGTGTGTTGGATATCTCTATTAAGTCCCTTTTAATCTACATAAGATTTCTCCTCCCTCATTTTTCTTTTCTTGTATTTATTTACAGAATCGATGTCATTTGTCTTATGGTATTTTTCACATTCTGAAGTTTACTGATTATTGCAAATGTAATGTTAACCTTTAAATTGGTGGTAAGATCTAGAGTTTCATGCCCATACCCTTTGTTTCCGTGTTTAACAAGGATATTTTGTAAGTGAGATGATGCACTGCTACAAAGAGACACTTGTCTAATCCTCTCTTGGTCTGAGGTGTTAGCTGCAATAGATCATTTAGCCTCTCTAGGACCTTCCCCAGAAGAATTCAATTTATAGTTGGAAAGTGTTCAGGGCACCTTCCTGATTCTCCACACGCTAACATTCACCCGCTCCTCGTCCCTAATTTTATTCTCTCATGATAGACTATCCTTTTGAACCCTTCTCTCGGTCTTTCATAGCATATTTCTGGTATTCTTTGATAAATGTGTGCCTCCTTTTGAAGACTGGAGCTTAATGAAGACAGCAAACAGCCCCCCGCCCCCTCCTTTGTATCTCAAAATTGCATGCAGCATGTTGCTTGCGCAACATTTGTTGAATTAATGATTTTCTATGAGGGACCTAATTTTCTCTTCATATAAGCTTTAAATATATCATTTTAAACTGCTTTTGTCCTCCATCAGGAAATGCAAGTCTGAGAAGTTAAATGGTGACTGAAAACGCAACCAAACCCAAACCTGAAGACCAGTTGTTGCTGGTCGAGTCAGACTCCTGATGACCCTGTGGGTCGGAGTCCAATGGTTGCTGCATTGTGTTTTCAGATGGAGACCCAACCTTTCCCTGGAGCTGTCTCTGGGTGGCATCAAATCTCCATCCTTTCAGCCAGTAACATAAACTACCTGCAGCACCCAGTGGCCCCAAGAAGACGACATCTGACCCAAATGCTGCCTTTCTTAAGAGAAAGTCCAAGTGCTTCTGAGCCAACTATCTAAAATGAAGATTTAAACTATTTTCCATGGTTATACAGGCTAATTGGTCCTAGACTCTGGGATCCAAAACGCTAGCTTTCTCTGATGGATTATTTATTCTGTACAAAGTTGTAGGCTTTGCCTCTAAGAGTGAGCAGACAACTTTATGTGATGAGCTCCCCAGTGAATAGAGGGGGTGGGGTGGTGGGGAAGGG